TGGATGTATGAGAAGGACATGTGGTCAGGTAGAGAGATAAATGTTTTTCTTTGCCTTTTTTTTTAATAGGTCATGCAGTTGCTGAAGAGGAGGCTAGAAAAGCCCACCAACTCTGGCTTTCGGTGGAGGCATTGAAGTACAGCATGAAGACGGCGTCTGCGGACCTGCCCACTGTTCCGCTGGGTAGCGCAGTTGAGGCCATCAAAGCCAGCTGTTCTGATAGTGAATTCGCCCAGGCTTTAACTGCAGCCATTCCTCCAGAGTCCCTGACCCGTGGGGTGTACAGTGAAGAGACCCTTAGAGTCCGTTTCTATGCTGTCCAGAAACTGGCCCGAAGGGTAGCAATGATTGATGAAACCAGAAATAGCTTGTACCAATACTTCCTCTCCTACTTGCAGTCCCTGCTCCTATTCCCACCTCAGCAACTGAAGCCACCGGCCGAGCTCTGCCCTGAGGATATAAACACATTTAAATTACTGTCATATGCCTCTTACTGCATTGAGCATGGTGATTTGGAGCTGGCAGCAAAGTTTGTCAATCAGCTGAAAGGAGAGTCCAGACGAGTGGCACAGGACTGGCTGAAGGAAGCCCGGATGACCCTAGAAACTAAACAGATAGTGGACATCCTGACAGCATACGCCAGCGCCGTAGGAATAGGAACCACTCAAGTGCAGCAAGAGTAAGGTCTAGGAAGAGTTTTGTAAAGTCGTATTTCATGTCAAGGAAATCAGTAATACATGGAGGGTTTGCAGCAGGGTCCCAGAATTGTCTAGAAACGAGCAGGTTACAAGTACTGTTCTAAATGTTAACACCTGTTGCATTTATATTATTTCCACTTGCTATCATGTCAGTGAACTCCAGGAATACTTTCTTTGCAACTTGTGTAACATTTTCCGTTTTTCAGGTTTTACTGATCAGGCTTGTGAGCCAATCAAAATAATGTTTGTGATCCCTGTTATTATTGATTTTGCCCTTGGAGCAAACTGAATAAAACAAAAAAATGAAAACCGAGTAGCTTATCCCTTTTCAAAAAGTACCATTTCTGATTCGTTGTGTGTATGAACCGGGTCCCAGAAATCCAAGGCCTGTTCTTGGCTTTTAAGGTTCTGGTGAACTGATTCCTACTGGTCAAACTCAAAAGTGATGTACAAGCCCAAATGCCAGTATAATTGTAGATGTATCAGCCTACTGATTGAAAGGCACTAGAAATAGTCCGTATCCCAAACTTTTTTGATTGCTACCACAAGACACCCTGCCCCCCCCCACCGCGTGTGCATATATATATATATATATATGTATTTTTTTTTTTTCTTTGAGCTTCTTGAAACACTGCTTCCCCCTTTCTACTTGTGATGCACTGTTTGCTTGTCTGCGGGATTAAAAAAAAATGTTGGTCTCTACCCACAAATTAACTAAACAGTCTTCAAAACGGGTCACAGCTCACAGTTCTGAGACACTGGTATTGACCTTACTCCTTTCTGGTACCTTCTCTGTGAATTTCTTTATTGAAGTTGGGGTGGTGAACCTGGAATCTTAAAAAGGTTCAATAATTTTGTGGTATATTTGAACTGGACTCCCATAAAACCCAGAGAATTTACTTTCTTGGTTCACTTATCTGAAGATTAGGACAATTGTCATATTGGGTAAACATTAGCAAATTCATTTTTTACTCCATGAAAATACTTTTTCTTCAAAATTATTTTTTGTTGGGGTTTATGTATTCACAGAGATTATTGAGAAGGCACTTTTATCTGAGCAATGTATCTGCAAATCGTGAAAAAAGTGGAGGGAGCTCTGTTTTATTTTTCTGCAGCGGTATGCTAGCCCCTGAATTTGGACTGTCACATTCAAGCCTGCATGGCACTTGACCTTGTTCTTTGATTTGGGCATCCATTGATCCATCTTGGCCTGAGTTGTTGTTGTTAATATTCCTTATGTTCCTCCTAAAGGAATCCCCTAAAGGGATTTTTTTAATGCTTTTTTTGGGGTGAGGAAGATTGGCCCTGAGCTAATATCTGTTGCCAGTCCTATCTTTTTCCTCTCCCCAAAGCCCCCAGGACGTAGTTGTAAGTCATTCGAGTTCTTCTGTGTGGGATGCTGCCACACCATGGCTTGATGAACGGTGTGCAGGCTGTGCCCAGGATATGAACTGGTGAGCCCCAGGCTGCTGAAGCGGAGCAGGTGAGCTTAACTGCTTGGCCTTTGGGCTGGGGGATTTTTAATTCAGTAAGATACATCTAGTTTCTCTGACTAGAACACATGCTTTGTGTAATGTCCTTAACTTCTGCAGGTAGAGTCACTCAACAACTGTGGGCTATTAAGTTTTTTCTGGAAGATAATGGGGCTGCCCTAAGTTCATCCGTTCTTCCCCTTTGCAATGGCCATGAAGTTGCAAAATGCATTAACTTGCAAAGCTGACTACTTACCTATTTGTCAAATGAGAATTGCTTGTAAGTTTTATTTTACTCATGAAATACGTAAAGTATTACAGTTTATAAGGAAATCTAAATTTCTCTAGGAGTCTAGGAGTAACTTCCTTCAGGTATGATTATCTGAGCTCACAAGCAGCAAGCAATCCTGAGTGGTTTAGTTTAGCTCTGTAAGTCAAAATCACGAAGACCACTGGCTTTCAAACTGTAGTAGATGCTTTAGCAAACCTCCCCACCCCCACTACATAGTGGAAACAGGCTGATGTTGAAAAGGGGTCTCTGCTTGGCCCGGCCTTGATCTTCCTTCCTCATGCCTAGTAAAATCCATCTTCCTGAGATGTCACTCAACAACCCTTCAAGTGAAAACGGCCTTTATTTGGGCCTAAAGAGCCTTTTCATCACTTCTCAGTTCTACTTCCAGGAGGTGGAGTCCAAAGGAGCAAGGTTGGGGGACAGTGGACACAGCCCCGGGCACTTAGGGCGGGGCAGCTTCACAGCACGTCTGCATTTAACCTGCAAGTCATGTTACACCTCTGCCACTTCCTTTCCTTTCGTTGTCTCAATCTGTTTTAGCCTTTAATTGGGTTACCTTCTTGCCTCCTGAGTGCTGTAGACAGTATGCCTCAACGTTTTAAACTCCAGATTTATTAAAATTCTGATCTTTGCAAAATGTCTGAAGTTTCAAAATCAGTAATGTAACAAACTAAAATGTAACTTTAGTCTTTTTTTTAAGGCATACTCCTTCTGTAGTCCTTAGTATTAAGTCCTCTGCTCTTAGCAGGTTCTGGATAAAAGCAGTCTCCAAGTCCCAAAGGAGTTGTCCCACCAGTTCTAAAGTAACTTGCTTGTACTGAGTGCAGGACAGATAATTTGAGTTAAAAGGGAAATAAAAAGGATTAAATATCAGACAAATCACTCTTCATCAGCTCCACTGGTCACCGTTTTCCCGAAACAAGGCTAAGCTTCCCTGGTTTCCTTTCCGTTGCTGCCGTTAGGGGCCTTGGGGACCCTGAGGTTGGCAGGGGAGCATGAGAAACCAAAGGGTCGGGAGTGGGGAGGAGCAGTACCTGGCCACTCTGCCCATGTGAGGAGGTGACGTGGTCCCACTGGCTTGTTAGTCTGATCTAGCTGTGTGGACAATGCCCTGGGGTTTTCAGGAAGAGGAAGGGGCTCTGGAGCGATGGAGGCAAGGGCCAGTGCATTATTGTGGGGACAGAGTGCTCTGGTATTGGTGGCAAAGCTTAGATTTCCCTGGGAATAAATTTTATCATGACCTTTACTCCTCTTGGACATTCTTAGTTTTCAAGTCTAAACTCTTGCTTAGCTCTGGAAACTTCTGGGCTTGATCTCCAGTGGTCCTTCTGAATCTTCTACAAAGTCCACGGCTGTGCAGGTTGGCTGGACAACATTCTTTTACAGGACAGGCTCCTTTCGGGGCCAGGCTAGAGGTTCCTTCACTGCCCAGGCGTTGTGTACTTACATCTGATCATATCCCAGCACACTGCCTTCTAGCAACCAACCCAGAGACTCTTTTCTCTGCTAAATGCCACTGTCTCTGACTCTAAAACGTGCCCTGCCCATCCATACTCCTAGTGACTGCTGTCTCGGAGCATATCCTATTTCAGTGTCTCTCAAACTTTTTTGACCATGACGAGCAGTAAAATAATTTATATCATGATCTGGTACATATATGCATGTATATCTTTATTTATGGCACTGTAAAAAACGCACCACAAAACTTTACTGCATGCGACGTACTTAAATTTTCTAATCCATTTCATTAAAATATTCATCACCCACAAAAACTGATTTCAGACCCTGCAGACTGACAGATATAAGACAGTCCTTTTATTGCTAGAGTCCTCATACATCCTGTTGAACCAAAATCTGCTAGTTTCCAATTTCCACACATCGGTAATCTAACTGAGACAACACTCAAGTTCATCCCACATACATTAAGACACCTCCCTTTACCGTTCCCATTCCGTGAGTCCTGACTCCCATTTGCTCTTCTGTTTGGTTTCTTCTTTTCCTTTTCTATATAAGCTACTCACAGGTAGTTTCACTACCCTCAGTTCCCAATTTCCAAAAGGCTGTTTTCAGATTTTTATTTTAACATAGTTGCTTTATATACGATTAATGCTGATGCCTCTCAGCTCTGGCATCATTAAAGCAGCATATCCCCTTTTAATGCTGTGAAGCTTTTCAAACTTGATTTGGTCCTAATTGTATTGAGTTATAAACCTTTTTCCTCATATCATTTTGTTTAAAATGTTAAACTGAGTTCTGTATTGTAAATAGAAATTTCTCCTATATAAACATCAACTGAGATGTTGAGACTGTTCCGTAAGAGTGGTCTTAAAAATGAAATGTTCTACTTCACCAAGAAGCCCCTCATTTTTGTAACTGCCATTTAGGAATGCAGTTTTTGAGTTGTATTGAAGTGCAGAGACAGTGGTAGAGCAAGAAGAGACAGCAATTAAGGGGAGACCCAGGACCAAAAGCAAAAATTGGTAGGTTACTTTGGCATAGAAAAAGAGAACATCTTTTACTATCAGAGGCTACTATTTCACCAGTTAGTGAAATCAACATTTAACAATAAGAATGGAGACCAATCCTATAGGCCTTAATTTTTCCCCCAAAAAGTTCAAAGCAGTTATTTGCCCAGAGTGGGGGTCTGGAATATCCGTAACAGTTAAAACCACTGAGCTACACATCACCCACTTTGCAAGTCCACTAGACTCACATGACATCGTCCAGATGGACTTTCCCATCAACTTTATAGCAGCAAAGCATTATGGTGAGGATTCAGCTAGCACCTGGCAAGGGGAGAAGTTACCACAATTAGCAGGATTGCACTGAGGGAGTTCTCGCAGAGATTCAGGCATTTGCAGGTGTCGATGAACCGGGGGAAGAAAGGGCTGAGTTAACAGAAGCTCCCAGGCAGCCAGGTTCTCCTTGGAAGTTGTAAACCAAGATCAGAGGCTAACCTGCTCTATCTGACCTTTCTGCTCATTTGCTCTGATATGTCAAGAGGCTAATGGCGCAATGTACATGAATGTTTAAGTAGCTGACTACTGTCATTTCCCCCCGTCTTTGTCCGTCAATTAGATGTCAAACTTGGACATTCTGGGAGAGAACGTGCACTGATACTTAGGTTTCTGAAGATGTATCACTGGGTTCCAGACTAGAGAGAATGGTAAATGGAGATGGGAGCAGACATCAATACAATACACTAGCAGCCCATAAACGTCAACCCCGGCAGGCTAAGGATGAGGTTGCTCCTCTGTGAGGACTCATGGGGTGCCTCAGTAAATCTGGGAATCAGATACGAGCAAAACAGCCTGTGGGAGAAGCCCTTGTGAAGGTCAAAACGCTTCTGCAAACCTCTCAAATTCCTGTTAGCTTCCAATATTATCTGAAAGCCATAGTGGTTAAGAGAGAAATGCTAGAAGTACAGGTTCTTGACCAACTTGATTACCAGCAATGCACAATTGTAACAAGACATTTCAATCATTACGTCACCACAAGCCCTCCGTGAGACCACACTAAGTACAGCACAACTAAAGAAGGTGCCAGCACACACAAAATAGGGGGAGAGAAAGGAGGAGACGAAACGCTCTTGTGCAAGCCCCACGTCTAGTGGGAGGACTACGGCAAAGGCTATATAAAGACAACATAAATACCTACACATGTACAGTAATTACATGTTTATTGACAGTCTTCATTTTCCCAGCTGTGCAGCCTAAACTTCTGCCGTTGTCATTTAATCAATTCTAAGATGCACAATTTTTTACATCTAAATATCCCTGAAATTGGGGTACTACTGACCCATTATCAACTGTGATGTAATTGTATGACAACTTCCTTTAGATGCCTTCTCTAAGATCAAGAAGTACCCGCATCACAGCATCACCCAATGAAGGCTGAGCTCCACAAGGGGAGGGCAAACCAGTGACCACAGAGCGTGACGTCGGCTGACGAACACTGCAGGTGTGCAGAGCTTATGCCGAAATCGGGAGCTATGTACCTCACAACGTGTGTCTAAGGAAATGAAAACAGTAGTGCTGCTTCTGTTTTCAACAATAAACCCTGAATGGATGGTTTACAAAGTATCAAATTAGGAATTTAACCTAAATAAGTCAGTGCTGTATTCAACTGTACTTCAAAGTTCACCAAATCTGTATTACTGTCATGTTTTCTTCGTATCATGGTTAAATATGAACGTCTCAGTTCTCAAGTGTAATTACAGCAGCTATGCTAGGCCACAGCTGCTCCTGATCCACCACTTCTATTTGCCTTCGCTGATGTCACTGTCACTGTCGCTGTCACTGTCACTGGTCAATGCAGTTAGGTTTCCCAGGGCTTCCCTGTAAGGAAAATGAACAGGAGTGTTACACTGCAACTCGTTCTGGGGGAGGGGAGACTGCAGCTGCACAAACTATTTACAAAGGAGAAGGTTCCAATGGCCAAATCTACAGGCCTCCTCGACTTGGATGACAAATGAAATTGTTAAATCAATACATCTTGACTTTTTGCAAAGAAAGAAGAAAATTGAGAGGTTAGAAAGAAGACGGACGAAAGGTCTGCTCCATTTTTCTAACTTTCTTTCATGGTGACATTACAGGACCCACTTACTTCTGCTCCTGGCTGACTGCGAAGTCAGCCATCACTCTCCGGGTGAGGCTCTCACAAATAGGTAAGCTGAAGGCACTCGCCAGCTTCACTACCTCCATGGCCTGGTCAGGGCTACTGGATGCTTTTGCACTGTCCATAAACTCATTCAGCAACTCATTCCTGTAAAAGAAAGGCAACATGTCAACAGTCCCCAACTAAACCCCTCAACCTCTTCAGTCAAAGATTTACATGCAAAATCGAGCATTTTATAAAGTTCAGTCATAAAATCCTCAACAGTAGCTCTGGAGGCAATGTTACACGAAGTCTAACTGGGCCAGAGAGAATGGACATTGGTTGAATATGCCCTCACTGAGGATCTATTCCCATGTGCTGCGATCCCTGAGGACAGATGAAAAACCGCTTGCCTCAGGATGCCCTAGATGGTGGGAGAAACTGTGCATCTGCTCGCCTGTCAGACGAACGCCCAATACACTATGGCTAGGGTATGTGAAGAAATTCCAATCACCCCACCGTAAGAGTTTAGCCCATGCAGCTAATTCCCGGATATATTCTGGCAGGTCTGTTATCTCCAACGTACCTCGGGATCTTATTATGCTTCCTGAAAAGCTCCAACATTTTCCTGTTCAAGATGAGATAGGAGGAAGATTATGACTATTCATAGAAGAGAAGGCAATCAAACGACCGTAGCTGCTCTCCTGGACTCAGAGACTAAGCGTCCTTCCTCACTACAGGGGAAGCTCCTGAAGACGCACATCTGTGAGCTCCACTGGCTCCCACTCCTGTGTTTACATCACAATCACCTCAGGTGCGTCAACCCTCTCCTCCCAAACCTCCTATGTGGACACTGCAAGTGTCACAGGCGATCCCGCTCTGCCGCCAGTGTGGGGAGCTGCTGGGGTATATCCCCTGTAGAGCACCGCCTCAGTCCTCCGAGGGAGGGAGTACATCCCGTGGGCAGCTGGAAGAGAGGGATGCAACTGAGTGTGATCTCCTTACTCTCTCACAATCCAATATGAGTTCAGTGTGTCCTAAAGCTACGTCATGAAGAGCAGGCTCAGATTAAGGCATCAGTCTCATGTAAGTGCTCGCCGTTATCCTGCCACATGCAGGACAAAGGAGAAACACATACACTCAGCTCCCATGACTCAGCTGAGGTCCGTACCCCTGCGCCAATCATCACAGCCTGATTCATAACAAGTGTGTGTCAACCCGCCTGAGTTACATTCAAGCATCGGGCGCTTCCGTCACTAGAAGTGCAGCAGGCCACGTGTGATTCACACTCCTAAGACCAGCTGAGGCAGCAAAGCCTTCATCAGCTTTTCCTGGAGATAGTGAACAGCCATATTCTGGACTGACAATCACATGTTCAAAGTAAGTTACTTTCTTGGGCTGAAGAAGCCATGCACAAGTACCCCCCACTTACTGACTTTTAGAACTAACACACATTTACAGCCAAAACAAAATACAGCAGAAACACTTAACTGTGACTACTCCTACAAAGTATTCCTTTGCTGACTTCTCTGCTTTTGGAAAAATGAATATGCATAAGGTGTCCATTCACAAAATTAGTATGGGAATGAAACGCTGACAAAACACATAACTAGAATACAGTGGCACAAACCAGACGGATTCTACTCAAGGCCACGTTTCAATATTAGTGAATGCCAGTTTCCTGAAGTCCAAGTATACAACCCACACTGTAAGCTGGGAAGTGGGGGGAGCACCCACAAATGAAATACTTGAAGAAACCTAATGCCCAAAACATTTTCAAAAATAAGATTCTTCGATCACTTTGCTCTTTATTTAAGCAGACAGATAAGTGACTTACTTGCCCACGGATACAGAAAACAGGTCAGAAATGGAAAGAATTAGCCCACGGAACCACATCCTCTCTTAAATACACCCCATATACTGGCCTTCTTCCAAAAGTTTGCTTTTCAGTTGATATTTGGAAGTTCCACTGAAAACGCATTATGGAGAAAACTCATTTGTCTCCTGATAAACTACACATCATAGAGCCAAATTAAGAGAACCTCTCCTGACCAGGGTGAAGGTTCCCTGAGACCCAAGTACCAACGCTGCTAATTCACACCTGGGGGATTGTACTCACCAGGCTTCCTGGGTTCTCCCAGCCCTTAAAAAAAGGACAGCTATATAGTTCAGAGGGTTGGCTGGCCAATCAGGAACAGTCTGTCTGGCATCTTGGTTTTCATACGTAGATTTGATATCTGCAGCACAGTCAGCAAACGCCACCTGAAGCTGAGAGGCTCTAAGAGTCAGCAGAACTGCCTAACTGGTTTTATAAGAATTCAAGTTCTGGAGACTCCATGAGACCATTAAAATTTTTTAGCAAGTCACTACATCACACATATTGCACACAAGTAAAACAAAAACCCCCCACTGCCCGGGAGTAAAAATGCGACTAGCCACATCTTTCAAATCCAATTATAGGTCTCTTTTCAGATAGCAATAAAAAAAAAAACAGTACAAACTGCTATTAATTATCAGGACAGAGTGACGTTATTTTCATATTCTTTGCTTTGGTCTAGAGAAATGAGTGACTTTAGAAATGGTAATCTGCTAATGGGTGGATATGTGTAGGTGGCAACATGGGTTTAGATGGCAGAGTTCTCCACAATGACAGATGAAACCGGGGAAAGTGCTCTTACAGGGCCCTTAGTACTAGAGAATATACTCGTTAGCGTACTGTAACAATAACCAAACCTGAGGAGCAATACATCCTACCTCTGGTGGGTGCTGATCCCTTGCCATGAGCATCAGAATCTCTTCTTTCAGGTCACTGCGATAAGTATGACCATATTCTTTACTATCTTGAAACAAAAAAGGAACAAAAAAGTGAGAAGTGATCACCATCACGTAAAACCAACACTCTCTGGCTGACCTTTGTCCACTGTCAGCTGTCACCCATATTTGATGGGTGAAAGTAAGCTGCTGACATTACCTATACCAGGTTTACTCCGAGGATTGCAGAAAACCAGCAGGATGAGTCACGGTAAGCAGAGACATAAGAGCAGTGAAAGCCAATGCCAGTAACCTGTGCTGGTCAAGTGTTAAACACAGCACACGCACTACACTTGAGAAGCCACCAGCTCCGTGTGGTAAGACGCTGTTTCACAGCAGCTGGGTATCGTCAACGGTCTTGTACATACAATCACTAGAACAGTCTTGTGCAGTAGTAGGGGAGGACTGTGGTCTCAGGGTTTCAGACATGGAAACTTGAGGCAGAGAGAAACTGACTTTAAGATCTCAGTCACCTGGTGGAAGAGATACAGCACCTTCCGCAGCCAATTTATGCACATAAGACACAAACACACACACAAACCAACAGTCATGGCTATTTCTTAGAAACACGAAGCATCACTGATTGGTTAGCAACTGAACCACAGTGATACAACATGGCACAGAGGAAAGACATAGGCCTTGGGGTTAGAGACCTGCATTTAGATTTAGGGTGTACCATGTAATTAGCACTGAGTCTCCCTTTGTCATGTCACGCAACAGGTACACAAAATCTAGCCTTTTCTTGTCACGAAGGCACTAATTTAGGTCATTTTCACTCAAGTAATCCAATATGTAACATGAGCACGCGAACCTGAAGTAGACCTCAACTAATCTATTCGATTTAGTCAAACATGCAAGTTTTCATCTCTTAACAACGTTAACATGTCTGTTAATCAAAATGTGGGACAATGAAGTGAGACAGGTGTGCACACATAAGCTGAAACCAACCTTTCCAAATCTGAGGGATCAATTCTAGTCGGTTGGCCACATCCAATGCTTGGAGAAGATCTATCAATGTTTGAGAATGGGGAAAGAAGACCTGATTAAGAGAAATACAAATATATTTTTGAAGTATAAATCAGAAAAGATACCCAACAAACATGTCTACAATAATAAATGATTAGTAACGAATCATCTTACTGAAGGTATCAGGTCCTTATACCACTTCAAAGTGACATCAATTTGTTCCATTAGGCAAAGCAAACTGAAAAACCTGGAACTGCAATGGGGAGAAAAAGTATGTTTATATAATGACACATTACATACAATTTTACAACAATTTACATGTTATAAACAATTTCAAGTTACATGGGCCAATGCTTGACCCAGGAGGTGCTAACTGCTTTCTGGACTTCCTAATTAATACCTTCTTATGAACTGGTCATTCAGGACTGCCTCCTCAGTATACTCTCAGCTCATGGGGAGCAGACAGTGAACATCATATTCATTTCCTAAGCATTTCATGTGAAGCAAGGATTCATCACACCCTCATTAACAGGCTGCCTCCTTTAGTTCTTGTTTTCATCCGCTTAAAAGCAAATCCACTTAAGGAGTCTCTTTGGACTCTAGTATGTTGTTCATCTTTAAAAACAAGAAGCTGTGATGAAATCTTGAGGGACTCACCCTACTAAAAATTCAAAAATATAAAATAGAAGGGTGTAGAAGATATGTGCATTTAAAGTGCTACAAAGAAAAACAGCTGAAAAGATATACAGCAAGACATCTCATTCTGGCAGATCAGTTTTAGCACTGTTTGAATTTCCAAGCACTCAATTAACACGTACTGTTAAGTGAGGTGTGCTACCTGAAATCAGAGGTGAGATAGGAGGGCCACCAACAGCCTCCCACTTGCAAAATTCACTAATGGTTGCTTAAAGGTGCGCCATTAATGCAAAAGGATACATTTCCAACACACTTACTAATAGAAATTACGTCGATTATCAGGTCCAATGAATTTCCAGTTGTCTCCAGTGTTTAAAAGCCCATGTACTTGGTAAGCAAGTTCTAGATCTCTGAGAGATGAGCACTGAAAATTTACAAGTAGAAGGCATCACTCCAAGATCCTTATCAGCCAAACAGTGGCTCGTTACATAAAGAAAAAAAGCACAAGTTTCTTGTGGAAATACTCATATGCTGATTCAGTGTATTACTGGTGGACAGCAAATGAGTTACAAGAAAGGCGGTGGGTAGGGGTGGGAAATCACAACAAACTCCCAAGTTCCGCGAAATTTAAAACAAAATGATTTTGACCTAGAAATTATACCTTCAGAAATCAATCCTACAAAAATACTTGATCACATGCACAAAAGAGAGATGGAATGCCCACTCCAGCATCACTGTACTAGCAAAAAAACCCCATGAAGTAACTCCAAAATCCATCCATAGGAGAAGAGTTCTAAGTTAAATTGCAGTCTTTCTCATCTATGGAATACTTTATTGCTGTCAACAAACCAAACACCATGGAAATGCATCTGGGTGTGCATGTCTGAATACACAGAGGAAAAACCCTAGAAAGATACACACTAAACTGTAAAGCAATTATCCTTAGAAAAAAAGATATGCTAATTTATTCTGAAACTGCTTGAATTTTTTCCTATAATTAGCATGATAAAATGAAAAACCAAAATTAAAAAGAATCATCTTCAATTTAAAAAGTTACCAACAGCCAAATATGAAATACTCTGAAAACTTATTTGAACAAAAGTATGAAAAAAGACAATGTATACAATAAACACAGGGAAGGGATGTTATGTGATTTAACACAGATTTTAGAGAAACCAATAAGAAAAACAGAACCAAAAGACATGAAAAGAAGTAAGAGAAAGTCAAAGAATCAAGAAGACATCCTCCCACCAACCAGTTACAGAAAAATTTAGGAAATGGATAAAAGGAAAAGGGAAAACAAGTTAAGCAAGAAATGGTACTTACAACTCTCATGGCTGACTGAAAAAACGCATCTGAAAAAGAAAGTTCCCAAGAGCCTTGGTTACCATGGATAAAACATATTTTCAAGTCAGTAACGTTAATTAAAATCCTGGCAACAAAACTTTCAATGCGTAAGACAAACCTAAAGGAATGAAAACTCAAGAGGAGCGGAGGGATACAGCAAAGTGCCACAGACATTTTGGCTTTCTCAGAATAATAACCCGAAAGATCACTAAGCTAACTTACACCTTGTCCTCAGAAGCCTCTACTAACCAGTACCCGGAAAACAGGCTCTGTGTTACACAAGCAATTTCTGTACATACCATCATCTGGGTCCTTTGGGGAAAATTTCTTTCCCATTACTTCATTCATGATGTCATAGATTATGAGGGGTGATCCTTTTGCAGAGCTTTCTACAGAATAAGGAAGCAAATGGTTTATCGTGAGTCCACTTCCTCTGCCACCACCAAGCACACAGCACCTAGTACAGGCAGCCACATTTCTCCTTCCTCCACCTGCAGTGTAAGGCCTGGCACAGCTGGTCAGGGCACCAGCTTGCTAAAGGAACAAATGCACCTACAGAGGGCAGCTCTCCCTAAGTTCTGGGACAGTTACTGATCTTTGGCTATGTGCTCCCAACAGAGACTCTTCCCTTCCTTCTTAGTCTCTTCACATGCCTGACTTTCACTGAACTGGGAGACAGACACACAGCCCCCCTCGCCAAACCTGTATTCTTAGGAAAACAAACATAGTTTTTGCTAGTAATCACTACTATTCCTTTAAAGAATAATCAGGATGAGAAGGCCAAGAAAAAGAAAACTGTAGAATTAATGGACACGGACAGTCCTCTAAAATCACATGAACTGAGTATCACTAGGTAAGAAAATGCTCCTACAATATTCCCAAGCATATCACATTATTCACCCACATTCTCTTCCCTACCTTATCCACACACGAGTGATCATAGCATTTTAATGACAGCAGAGATGTATTCTGATAATTTCCTCAAGCAGGTTTCCATTTGCTACCATTCCTAACTTTATTATTAGGTACATATTCTAATTCATATGTAGTGTTTCTCCAGTATTTTAGGCTTTCTCCTTTGGGTAAATTCCCAGAAATTACTATTGCAGGCAGGTAAATTACATACATAAGACAAACTGATACACCTCATCCCACTCTGCCCCCACCGGCATGGGTGTCGCTTAGGAAGCCTAAGTCCCACTGGCTTGGTTAGCAACGGAATCAATGTGATATGTGACAGTAGAGGAATGGAACAAGCTTTGGGGCCAGAAAGACTAGCTTCACTACCTCACCAAGGTTGAGGAAAATTTTAGAAGATACAATTGTGTAAACTGCTTACCCGCTTCCAAGCTAACCTGTCCCCCACCCTAAAAGATCAAACACCTCCCTGTACACGAGAATATGGATTTTGTAAACTCAGCCCTCCAAAAGAGAGTGATTATCAAGTTTTTCTGTTGCATATAAAGTCTATCACAGGAGAGAAGGACTAGAGCTGTCATTTCTGAACCCAGGGGTTCTTTCTCTGGTTGGGGCAAACAGACAAAAAGCAAGAGATTATGAGCGTCTCCTGTGTGCCTTCCAAGCATGGGATCAGACACTGTGTAATTCACTTAACCATTACACTCTGACGGCATTATTCCTCAGGTAAGGTTGCCAGTCCCTTTTGACACAGCTGGTAAATGGTGGAGGTGAAATTTCAACTCAGGTGTGCCTCTCCAAAGTCCATTCAACAGAGCACAGCTCCAATAGGGACTGGCTGAACTAAAAGCAGGTGACAAAGGGAGCCTCACGGTTCTCCCACAAGGCTTCAAATTAAGGTTAAGGTGACTGTGGAGCAGCAATATTCAAGAACTGCCTGCAAAGATGGAAATGTTCCAAATATGCACCACCAAACACAGCAGCCACCAGCCACATGTGGCTAAGCACTAAGGCAGTTCAAAATTTTTAATTAAATATAGCTGGCGGCTATTGTACTGGACAGCACAGCTCTGGAGAGCAAAAGGAACTCCCAACTCAAGTACCTTCTGACCAGTTCTAACCGCACACCAACACTGTTAGTACACTAAATGATCCCTCTCCCCTCCAGCTCAAGGTTCGTATCACAAACAAGGTGACCACCCACAAAAATAACTTTTTGCTCAGGCTGTGGATGATGTTAGTTTGTGAATTCTCTATTCTTAATTTATATACAGAGAAGGTAACGCACAACAATTAATCAACGAAATTAAGGGAGCTGGGCCAACTTTCTACAGAAATTAACATAACATAATGTCATACATACCTTGTTGATAAAACAGCTGAATAATATAGTGATACGTTGCAAGCGAGGGTTCTCAAATTACCAGGTGGATAGAAAAAAATAAATAAGTCAAACACAGCTATCCAAAATATGGTTTGCTAAGGCATACTGAACTAAAAACATACTGATGCTGGTATTTAAGTACAAGATGATGCACTTCTACTCCTTTGAACAAAGACATTTCCTAACTTATCTGATTAATGTTAAGGTGAAAGGTGTCATAAAGACTGAATCGCTTTTAGAAAGTCCAGACACTTAGTACTAAAATGTTACAGCTAATGCTCTGTACTATGATTGTTCAGTTAAGAACACTAAAGTAAACTGAAGTGATTTCCCAAACAACCTTCAATAAAGTACTGAAAAATATACAGTACACTAGCACACACTGGGATTCAAACACCTCATTATGATAGAAAATGTAAAGGGATTTAAAGCTAGCTAACTCTAAGTGAACAAGTTTCCCCAGAATCAAGAGATCCATAAAAAAGTACCTAAAATACTAGGAGAACGTTGTAATTTGCTATAAAGAAGACAAAGATGACACAGGAGCTCCCACCGTAGTAAACACATACAATTAAGTGTGCCAAGTGGTAGAAAGGAAACTCCCAACATATTACGTAAACAGCAAAAAAAAGAGTTGGCGGTCTCTTTTTGGCTTGTTTAGACCTGAAACGTCTGGTCAGCACTGTCTCGGGCGTCAGTGAGGGACTCTAGGACACATCCTTACCTATTCCAATGGCTTTCATCTCACGTAAGGTCTGTAAGGCTGGCAATCTTCCAAATGCATAAAATCTTCGGAGACACTTCAGAATTGTATTAAAAGTTTGTAGATTTGGTTTCACCTTCTGTGCAACCATTTGCTTCAGCAGCTCCTAAGCGAATCAAAAGCCGAAGTATTTTTTTATGCCTGGGTAGATAATTTGTCCAATAAACTAATACTACATACTGAAAAAGAACTTGGCTCTCTGGCTATGTCTAAAGCAGGTTAATAAACATATCCCTAATTTAAGAATTACCTATTAGCAAGACAAGTGACTTTGCCTTTTAGAGAAGCCCCTCGATTCAGACACCCCACACCAACTGGATCAACGTATTCAACTGTCTTCAGTCCTTGCCAAGGGAGTCTGCTGAGACTCAAGCAAAAGAATAGACTAGAAGAGATTGTGTTTTTCCTTTATAAATGAGCAGTATGGTATAAAAACATTTCCTATTCCTAAATTACTTCAATCAAGTGATTTCAGTTTCTTTAAACCTACCTGATAAAAATTTTGAATAAATATGCATTATTTTTGTAATAAACTATCATGAGAAATAAATGAACAATGCAACCCAGGTCTTCCCAAATTCTAGCTGTATGCTCCAGGTCAACTAACTTTCTTCTCATGTCAGACACAGCTACTTAAATGAGAGGGTTGCAGGAAAGGCAGTAAACAAGTAGCTGCTATCTGAGTGCCCAGCACGGTGAGTGCCATGTAGCTGCTCTGCGAATGCTGTCTCTATCCCATGTATTTCAGGCCTATCAGAAGACAAAATGAGGTTTCCTTACCAGTATGTTATTCCATTTTTCCTCAAATTTCTCATTTACCATCAATGCTTTTGCTTCAATCACTGCATTGAAGGTGTATACATCAGCTGTAAAAGAAGAAAAGTACTTTAACAAAATTTGGGGTTGAAGATTAACTCCTAAATGGCTCAGTTTAAGGCATACACATGTGGCTCCTGGCTCATTACCACGTGGTCCACGAAACTGGAAAACCACTTTCTTCTCTGGATGTATTCCTGCTTTAATCACCAATACCACAGGAAAAGACTAAAAACTGAGCTAATGATTGAGGCAAGATCCAAAGATTTCAGATTCTTAAGGAAAGAAAAAGGAGGAGTGAGGGGAATTCTCCAAACACACTTACCACGAAGTCTGTTGTTCAATAATTCAGTGTACAAGTTTAATGCCTGCACAGGAGCTCGGTGCTGAAGAGGGAGAGGATAAAAACTAAGCATCATCCAATTTGTTCACTTAAGAAATATTTGCATATCTACTCTTCTAGGGTTCAGGAGTAAGGCAGTAAAGAAACAGACAAGGTCCCACTTCTCATAAAGCGTATGCTCTAGTGCAGTGGTTCTTTACCAAGGGCAACTGTGCTTCTCAAGTGACATGTGGTGATGCCTGTAGACAAGTTTAGTTGTCACAGCTGGGGGTACTGAGGATGTACTCCTGGCATGCCAGGGCAGAGGCCAGGGAGCTATGAAACATCCTACAACACACTGGGCGGCCCCCGCCACAACAAATTATCTGGCTCGAAACATCAGTAATTCTGAGGTGAGAAACCATGAGTCAGTAGAAATTAAGGATAAAAACATATAAAACAAACGCTACCTTCACCATTCCTCGGATCATTGTGCAGTAGGAATGTGCATTTTTCTCAGGCATTAGAGCAAAGATTCTCTCAGCATTGTTTTTTGCTCTGCATAAAAGAGAGTAAATATGAACCAGGGGAAACAGAAAAAAACAACAGCACCACAATTTACTGAGGGTTTACAGTGTTCTAGGCACTGTGCTAAACACTTTATGCATATAATTTCAAACAACTCTTGCCACCCACAGAGAGATGGTTATCATTTTGAAAATGGGAAAAACTGAGGCTCAAAGACCTTAAGTTGTCCAAGGCCTTGCAGTTAAGTAGCAGAATCAGGAACGAAACGGAAAGATTTCTGAAAAGACAGTATACACTCAAGGTATTAAACCAACAGCAAACGGTACAATAGGGCGAAGTTTTCCCAACCTCCTCCAATCACAGTTCCCCAGAGGCAACCACAGAGAAGTGGTTTCTCCTGAATCCCTCTGTCATATTCTAGCACACATACATACATCATATTCTAGCATATCTATTTTCCCTCTCTTAGGAAAAAAAATCCCCAAAAAACCTGTGACGTCAGCATCACGGCAGAGTGAGCTCTTCCCTTAAGTCTTTCCCCACTAAGATACAACGAAAAGGACAGTCATAAACCAAGAGGACATCCACAGCCATATGTCTGAAGGTGAAGGTGCTGGATACCCCAGGAGGCAGTGGAAGATGGTAAAGGGGATGGCCTCTCCCTCCGCCCGGCAGCAACCTAGGGGCAGGACCACACATTGGCTGGCACGCGACCCTGAGATGAGAAGGGAGAGAAGGAAGGCCTGTGCAGGAAAGCTTGCACTTCAGTTACCTCCCAGCCTGTGGGAACGCCCCACACTGAGGCAGGTAAGCAATCGCAGGGGCGTGCCTACCAGTCCAGGCAGTGAGTGCAGAATCGCTCACAGGAAAAAAGCAAACCCCTGGCCCCGGGCGCAACAACTTGGCCTGAGTGTCCATGGACTAACGAATGGATAAAGAAGATGTGGTATATACATACAACGGAATACTACTCAGCCATAAAAAAGGACAAAATTGTCCCATTTGCAACAACATGGATGGACCCTGAGGGTATCATGCTAAGTGAAATAAGCCAGCCAGAGAAAGAGAAACACCATATGATTTCATTCATACATGGAAGATATACTCACACATGGACAATGAGAACAGATTAGTGGTTACCAGAGGGGAAGGGGGTTATGAGGTGGGCAATGAGGGGTGAAGGGGCACATATATATGGTGACTGACAACTAGTCATGTACAACTGAAACTTCACAATGTTATAAACTATTATGACCTCAATACAAACAACAACAGAAAACCCACAAAGGTATCACATTATACAAACTATGCTGTACCTTGATTCTCTCTTACCAATGTCTTTGAAATGTGATAAAGCCAGGATTTGACCCAAGATGGTACCCTAAAGTCCACGCTCTTAACTACTATTTTAAATCATTAAAATCTACTGAAGAAATTTAATTTTTGATTCAATTTATTACTTCAAAAAAGACTAGATATTAGTGGCAGCTTTCCTTCTCCAGACATCTGTGTGAAATACCTTTTATTTAGACACTTCTACTCAGCTAATTTAAATTCTCAAATGTTAGTTTAATGTTATTCACCTTTTGCTCAGAAGTACTGAATATTTCTGCTCGCTGGTCAGTAGTCTTAATTTAGAACTACAGTCTAGTGTACGTGTATTCTTATGTAATCAAAATACTGACTCTTTCAGAATTAGAGGTATATACTGCAACATAGGACTACTGATGAAACTACCAAAGGAACCATACTATGGAAGGCTACGTGGAGTTAAACGGAAAAAAAAGAAAAGAAAAAGTCAAGTGTCAACCTTGTGCTGCTGACTGGAGATAAAGATCTTATGAAAAAAGGTCCAAACACGTATGAACACCAATTGGGATATTTCTATCACATACTGAAAACCAACTGTATTTTTGAAAATTATAGGGTGTCTTCTTCAAGGGGTGAAGGGGAACATTCCATGTACCATGAGGAACCATTAATACAAGGCTCCAACTACGTAACACATACCTCCAAGTAACTCCCAACTGAGGACCAGCCTTCTTCCTAGATTTCTCATTATTTTCCTCTGTGGCCTCTTCCTGAAATGAACCATCAACAGAAATAAAGTAAAATACGACAATGGAATGCATTCTCCTAGTTAGATTCCTCAAAATCAAACTATCAAAGGAAATAGAATCCAGCAGAAGGCAAAGAGGAAACCCAGCAAACGTTTATTAAGAAATGCTAATTTCTTAAGGGGAAATCAGCTCATTTACAGATGAAAAAAAGTTGGCCCTTAAAGCAACAACTGACAGCCTAGAGAGGAGATAAAGCCACTGCCCTCTATGGCCTGGCCTAGAGTGAAAAACCGGAAATCCAAACCATCCAGCTTGTTTCCTCAGAGGCTACGTTGGCCTCGATCCATACAGAGATATTGTTTATTATTAGAGTGAAAGCAAGAGAAAACATTGCCGGGTATGGAATATATAGTTAATGTCTAACACTGACAGAACACAAGCTAAAATTTTTTTTAAAAGACAACACCTTGTCCTTTATTTATAAACCAATTTTTGGAATAGGCTGATGCAGAGCGAGACAAGCATGGCTGGCTTTACATATGACCGTGCTGGCTCTGTAGCTGGGGCTGGAGGGGCAGAAGGCAAGCCACGCCAGGAAATCTAGAAGATAATCTGGAAGGCAGGGTGTGACTACAACCAGTATCTTTGTACTTTAAAATCTTACTCTGTACACAAATAATCCACCTTTAGTGGGAAAAAAATTAGAGAAGACAAACTGGAAGAAAAACACCCATAATTCCATAACCCAGAGAGAAACACTGAATTTTTAAAATGACTTTTCCCTTATGCATATGAAAAATTTTTTATAAAAATGGAACATACCTTGTTTAGCCTATTTTCCCTCTTATCAAGGGTGATGAATCTGTCCATACCCAAACAGACCTACACTAGTACTCTCAGTCACTGCACAACACTATTACCATAATCCAATCACTCACTATTGGACACCTAATTTGTTTTCACTATTTTCCAATTATAGGTATGAATATCATATTACAAAAACTGTTATATATACATTTTTTTTTTTAAAGATTGGCACCTGAGTTAACAACTGTTGCTAATCTTTTTTGTTTTTTCCTTCTCCTTCTCCCCAAAGCCCCCAAGTACATAGTTGTATATTCTAGTTGTGAGTGCCTGTGGTTGTGCTATGGGAGACGGCGCCTCAGCATGGTCTGACGAGCAGTGCCATGTCCGCGCCCAGGATCCAAACCGGCAAAACTCTGGGCTGCCAAAGTGGAGCAAGTGAACTTAAGCACTCGGCCACAAGGCCGGCCCCACATCTATACATCTTTGTGCACTTGATCCAAAAGTTTCCTTGGGATCTAGTTCTAGAAATGAAACTCCTGGGTTGAGAGAGAGGCTACGAGCGAGTCTCAACAGGCCAACCCTTGGCACAATACTGTCCTATACCTCCAGTAGCGTGTGCTCACTCCTCCCCGCCTACATATGTATGAAGTTTTGAGGGAGTGGGCAGAAGGGGATCCTTCCCTGTCTATTACACATCATACTGTCACTGTAAGCAACGACAGAGGGGCCTGCCCAAAGATTTCTGGCCAAAGCTTTGCCTGCATGTGGTAGGCAAGGTCCAAATACTTTTAAGAAGGGAACTAGTGTTAAAATAATTGTTTAAATCCCTCTCTTCCTCTGCACACTGTTCATCAGGCTACTGTACCACCCCACATCTCAGCACAAATCTCTACTATCCTAACTCATGGCACACGAACTCGCCTTATTTTGAGAAGGTATTACTATAAAAAAAAAAAAACCTTAAAAATCATTGCCCAAAGCCATTACCGACTCTTCTGATTGTTCACGTTGTTGAAAATGATAATCAGCTGAGGGCTCTTGGTCACCATAGTAGCACAATAAATCCAAGAGACCATTAGTTGTTTCCAGAGAAACAGTAGTTCCTGTGGGTAGGAGAAAAAAAGGGAAAGTAACCTTGAAATATCAAAGAACTACACTACAGCCCATTGGTTAAAATTCTTGTTTTTCTACGAGCTGTGGCTTGCTTGGCTACATATTTACTATTGTCCACCACTTTATCAATGGATGAGCACGCATGCCGCATCAACTTAAACACCTAGAGTTATGCAGATCTGGACACAATCCCTACTAACCGTGTTTGTCTGACATAGAAAATTAAAACAGCACGTCAAAGCTTGACTGTGTGCTTACAATAATATTTTATGTATTCGTATCCCCAGAAAAACTGTCTCATGGTGTTAACTATCATCTCCAAACCGAAGACTGCAAATTATTGCCACTTACTTTCCCTGGCCCAGTTCCATTTTTACAAATGCAAGCAGAATCATTCCACTTGGATCCAGGCCCTCACTGAAATACTTGCCTAGAAATACTAGCATAACGTCTAATTACAGTACCCTTTTATAAAAATTGTTGCTCAAAACATTATGCTCCCATCTTGATACCTATTAAAAGGGAACAGGAAGAAGTATGAGACATTATTTACTGTTTTAAAGTAACGGCATTTTTCTAAAGAAAATATACCAATAATAAAAATACTCATCAGGAAATTTAAAAGCCCAGAAAAGAGCAGGGCAGAGTGGAGAGGACACAGGCGATAAGAGTATAATTTGATTGGGTCTTCCCATCCCAGAACTGTGTGACCCTGAAAAATTACTTATTAGTTTCCTTTATAAAATGACTGTAAACACAACAACTCAAAAGGTATTGTAGATTAAATGCCTAGCAAAGTGTTTGGCACTTATTAGGGGCTTGATAGTAAAATTTCCTATGATCCCTCCTCTGGAGCGCTGGCTCATTCTGCTACTCCGAGCTATGGGTCTGACATGCTGTCTTTAAAAATATTTCCTGAATGTCTGCATGCACCTACACCACACAGTGTGTAAAACAGAGGAAAACAAGTCTTAGCACTAAGAACTTTAATGAAAACTTACACCAGATTTTATCAAATTCAACAAGCAGAGGGAAAAGCCTTCCTAAATTATAATCTGTCAGCAATTCATTTGTACATCCAATGCTATAACAGGCTACACACCAAAATTTTCACATCAAAACCAGGTTCCTGCAATGGTTTCTTCTTGTGTTCAACACTGTATTGAGTGATTGAGTCCAGTTTCTATCTCTTGTATGTTTGGTTGATTTTTATCCTAAGTCACTGAGCAGCACTCCAGATCCCACAAACTTAAATAATGCCGCTGCCCTTCATGTTACTATAGGTACATTCTCATGGTAGCTTACAAGTCATGCAATCTAGATCTATACCCCGGAGGTTTACCCAGATCAAATTTGGACAGCTACAGGATTTTAGAGACAGAAGCTCTGAGGAATTAGGTGCCTTTTTCAAGGCCACAGAGCTAATTAGTGCCAGAACTAGAACCAGTATCCAAGCCTTTGATCCCACATTTAATGCTCTTTCCTTTTTAAAGATTTCTTCTTTCCTGTTTTACACCTTCCAAACATACTTAAGGAGCACAGGAAATCTGAATACAATAGGTACACACCTAATGTTAAAAATGGAAGCTAAGGAAGAATGGCTATGTAAGTTCTCTACCTGTGATGCAGCACAAGAGGACAATATCTTAACAAAGGTGCAACTCTATCTCCCCTATAATTTTAAAATGAAGCCAAAGCAGAAATTGAAATATTATTTATTAAGCTGTTAGAAATATAAATGCAGCTATCAAGCAGAGTAAGTGCAGTAATGCCTGTTAACTTTTACTCATGACTAGTGGGACCATCTAACTGTGGCCCACTTCCGGGCCTCCGTCCCTGGGGTGCTTTAAATGAACTTAGTCACCTGCTTGCAAGAGTTGATCAAACATGTCCACCGAAGCTTTGACTTTTCTGAGCTTAATTCGTTCCTTTAGAGCAGCTTCGCTTATATCTTCAATCTGAGGTTCAAAGTACTCAGGCATTAAACACTAGGAAAACAAGATGGTTAAAGTTACTACAAACAGGTAACGGCAAAATGCTAACTGGCAGGACAAAACTTTTATCACCAATAAACCAAAATAAAACTTCACCGTTCCATTCCATGTTTCATGCACCAGATACTATTTATCATTTTAACATGAATTTCTTTGTAGGAAATACAACTTAAAAAATATCTACCAAAAAACCTCGAGAGTCTACAAAACAAGATCGTTTAGCTATCTCAGCTTGGAGAGAAGAATTTAAAAGCACCCAAATGTAAATATTTAATCCATATCTGAAGAATCCTATTTCCAACTAACCCTCCCAATTTCTAGTTGAACTTACTATATTTTCCCCTCATAAAACCACCCTCGCTCTTTTCCTCCCAATCTTGGTTAAAAGTGTCAGCATACAACTGGTTTCCAAAGGCAGAAACCTTTCATCTTTGATGCTGCTTTTACTCTAAACATTTACTACCACCAAGGTATGTACATTTTACCTCACTCACTAATTCATATACTCATTGAACACTTATTACTGTACGCCAGGCACGAAGCGAGGCATTGGGCATGTAGGGATGAAAGTCACTTTCTACCTTCAAGGTGCTTACAGTCTAATAAAGGAGGGAAACAATTATGACACAGTGTGAATGGTAAATGACGTAGGAGATCTCAGAGGTGTGAGACTGCTGCCGCCATGGAGGCAGGGGACCCATGGAAGGCTTCAAGCAAAAGTGAACTAAGCCCAGAAGAGTCACTGTTAGTCAAAAACATGAAGGGGAAACAGGGGGCTAGCAAATGACATTCCATCACTGCCACTGGCTGAGTTCAGGATTTCAATATTTTTACCTACACAATTGCACTGGATTCCTGATTTGCCACTTGAGAAGCAGGAAGGTTGTGTTTTGGGAAGGAAGAAGATATGAGAGGGAGTAATCTTGGACATGGCAAGTCTGAGGTTACTATTTCCACTAATGAACTCAGGAGGGCAGAGGCACGTCTCTATTGTTTACCACGGTACTGACAGCACTAAGCACAATGCCTAACACACAGCAGGCACTGCACAAATCCTCTTCATGACTGTGGAACAGAGAGGCAGGTGGAAATCCAATTTGGAGTTCAAAGTTAAGGTGAAAGATTTACACAATCTAAAGAGAAACCAGAGTACTAGTGTTCAAAGTAGAGGGCTCTAGGCCAGATATCCCAGACTGCCAAAAGCAGGATAGGGTCGTGGAAGCAGGAGTGTAGACAGGAAAAAAGAGAGAACGACTGAGCATGGAAACCTAAGAAAGACACCAACACTTAAGGAGTTGAGAGAAAAGCTACTGAAAAGGAATAGTCAGAGGTAAAGATCCAAGAGTCTGGTGCCACAGAAGCGAAATGGGAAAAATAAGATAAAGAGCAAAACCATGAGTTTAAAAAAAAAAAAGGTTTGCGTTGTGAGCAAAGATAACTACATACATCAAAAGACTTTTCACCCAAATATTGAGGGCATTCAAATGTTAGCCATGAAAGCTTGGTTTAGTTTATATTTGTATACAGCATTATCTAAAAATCACGATTACCTCTCCTTACCGGTATATGAGGTTCAGCTATGTCCTTCTGAAAATATTTGGGATGTGAATTAATAATAAACTTGGCTGCATTCTCCCCAGACTTCTTTGCCAACAAAAATGAACGCTATACAAAGAAAAAGATTTATACATAAATTGGTATTTACATGTAATTTAGACTCCAGAGAGCAGTTACACCCTCAGCAAGAATTAGCATTCTTTCCCCTAAAAAAAAGAATGCAACAATACACAGAAATCCAACTAGAAATTAAATTACATAATATTATATATCCATCTCTGCTACTGTGTGTGTCATATTTCAGGTCACATCTTGTATACAGCTTGAGGTATACAAAAACAATACATTTAAATTGAGTGGACTGCTCCAGTGTGAATGTGCCCTAAGTATTAAACACCAAAACCTTTCCATAGCCAATCTATAAAACTTTTTAATAAAAGTAATAAAAGATTCAGGAAATCCACCAATTTATCTATCAGCATCTGTAAACTTTCCAAAGATTTTTACAACTAAGTTAAATTATATACGCACTCTTGTACCCAAACCAGGAAGAAAAAACATAATATTAGAAAAGTTACATGAAAATACTCACAGATTCCAGAGAAGATGCTGGTATGAGATAAGGATCATCTTGAAATGCGTAAGGGGCAGCTGTGGTATCCTGTAAAGACACAGAAGTCTCTTTAGCTAGATTTTTTGTTTTTTTGGGGTTTTTTTGGTGAGGAAGATTGGCCCTGAGCTAACATCTGTGTCCATCTTCCTCTATTTTCTATCTGGGATGCCTCCACTGCATGGCTTGATGAGAGGTGTGTAGGTCCGCATCCTGGATCTAAACCCATGAACCCACGGCTGCTGAGGCAGAACACATGAACTTAACCACTACACTACTGGGCCGGCCCCATCTTTAGCCAGATTTTTAATAAGAGGACCTTGTGAGTTTTGGTGATGACCCAAAATTCTGTTAAATAAGTTTTAATTACACATGTAACACATATGCAGAAATATGTACATACGTACATTTGTGTGTGTGTGTGTGTGTGTAGAGACAGACAGACAGACACTGATACCTGTACTATACTCTCGGCTCTGTAAGACTAGGTTATAACTATGCACAACTTAAAGCAAACAAACGCTCAAGCTCCCATGACTGCTTCTTAAGATTTAAGCCTGCTATCACCAGGGACTATTGCTGTTTTAAACTAAAGATCCTCTGACTTAACTTGTCTGGGCAACAGTTTCCAGCATTAGGGTTTCCCTCAAAGCATGGCTGCTACCCAAGAGCCCCTCCCCCAAACGGAGCATACTACTGGGCCCTCTCAGGAGGTGGGAAGAGCAGCAGCTTCTTGTGTCCTGTTGTCCAAGGTTCTACACTTCTTTAAACTTTCTAGGTAGAACCCTAAGCAAAATCAACTCTCCAGCACCACCGGAGACTCACTCAAAACTGTCCCCAAATTACTTCCTCTACTCCTCTCCTCTACCTTGGAGCCCCCTTTCCTGGGCTTCCTCAGACCTCTGTTCCATAGGAAAAACTCCCCCTATATCCTGAATCTCTTCTGACTCTCCCTTGACGCCTCATCTTATTGACCAGGGTAGAGACTTCCCTGTGGCTCTGAGGGAAGGTCGCTCAAACCTAGGACCCAGAGGCAGTATTTGGGGGGGTGGGGGTGGGGGGCCTGACTTCCTACTGCCACTTTCAAATCCCACGTCCCTTCACCTTCCTCATCTGAGGCTCACTTCATCTGTTCACACCTCTCTACCAAGACGAGGCACCAGGGGGAGCAGTTCTAGGTTAGCTGCCCTGCACTACGCTCCGATTACACTCAAACTGTGGCCTGGCTCCAGGGCTGATGCTCTGCACCACCTTATTATAAACACATACCTGTTTAGGGCCTCTAGCGTGGTGCATGCTGGACTTGTTTTAACTTACTAGACTTATTCTTCCTATTTGTCTCCCAATTTTCCTCCCTCAGCGACTTCCAAATCCTTTATGGTCTGAGAAACAACTCCACTCTGGCCCTGTAGCTCAGACACCTCAAACCAAATTTACACCCAAACTGAACTTCCCTGATAGCTACTCTCTCTCCTATCTTCTCTAACGCAGTGAACGGTACTGACCACTCAGCAGTCCAACCCAAAGATCCTCTCCCATCACTTCCACTTAACTAATCTGTCATCAGGTCCAGCTTAACATTCCCTACCTACTCCACTGTCCCTTACCCCAATTGCCACTGCCTTAGTTAGTATGTTCCTTATTCATTCATTCAGTATTTAATGAGTACCTCATATGTACCAACCATTATTCTAGCTACCAGGGAGACAACAAAATCCCACCCTTAGCTTACAATCTAGTAGGGAAAAAAAGAACTCCACAAAACAAACAAAATTATGTATATAGTAAATTAAAAGGAGATAACTGCTATGCAGGAAAATGAACTAGAGAGAGGATAAGAAGAAAACATCAGAAAAAGATATATACAGTTCTAAATCAGGTGGTCAGGGAAGGCCTCAAAGAAAAGGTGGTATTTAATTAGAGACCTAAAACGCGGAGGGAGCAAGTTACGTGGACATCTCACAGAAACTATTCCAGACAGAAGGAAGAGCAAACACGAAAGCCCTGAGGCAGATGCGAGCCTGCTGAGAAACTGAGCATCAGCCGGGAGGCACGCGGCTAGAGCAGGGTGAGCAAGGAAGACAGCAGGAGGGGCAGTCAGAGAAGTAATGGGGGGAGGGGGGTGGATCACCTGGGGCCTTACGGGCCCACAGATGGACTTCAGTTTTTACTCCAATTACAACAAATGAGAAGCAGTCTTGAGTTCTGAGCAGAAGAGTGATGTGATCCAACGTTCTAGCAGGGTCACTAGAGCTGCTTACTGGAGACCAGTCTGTAGGGTGCTGAAGAAGTAGAGGGGACAGAGACTACTGTGATTAATCGAGGAAGTAAGAGACGGTGGTGGCCTAGATGACCAAGGTGATCATGGTGATGACGACAAGTGTTCAGACTCTGGAGATTGTGTAGAAAAGAGTTACCAGGCCTGAAACTGCTATCCTTAGAAAGGCTTGTTTGCAAGGCTGACCCTTGGCTGGCATCTGGGAACTTGGCTTTCAGGAGGGTTCCCACCATTCCCAGTACTGATAAGAATGGCTCCCTGTGCCTAAACTATTTATACAAGGTGGTTTATGCTGATTATCTGCTTTCTTGCTAGGAGTCTGGAAGTTTGGTATGTGCCAGGCAGAGGGTGCCTATGTGACCAGACTCCAATAAAAATCTCTGGGCACTGAGTCTCTAATGAGCTTTCTCTGCAGACATTTCAGACATGTTGTCACAACTCTGCTGGAGGAGTTAAGCATGTCCTGTGTGACTGACTGGGAAAAAGACTGCTGGAAGCTTTTTCCTGGTTTCCTCCAGACTCTGCCCGATGTGCCTTTTCCCTTTGCTGACTTTGTTTTGTGTCCTTTCTCTGTAATAAACCATAGCTGTATGACTATATGCTGAGTCCTGTGAGTTGTCCTAGCAAATCGCTGGACCTGGGAGTGGTCCTGGAGACTCCATGCACATATATTTTGATGGAAGAAAACAAAGAATTTATTAATGTGCAGCATGAGAGAAAGAGGAGTCAAAGATGACTCCCAGGATTTTGGCCTGAGCAACTAGAAGGATAGCAAAGAAATACATGAGGAGGTTTAGAGGGAAGGGGGTTTGCTTTTGGACATGTTAATTTTAAGATCTTTATCATACATCCAAGCAGAAAGGTTTCCCACTTCCATATTGCTGTCTTTTCTAAAACTTGTCTGATTAGGTCACACCACTGCTTAGAATTCTTCAAGGAACTTGGACAAGAAGCAAGTCCCTGGCATAGCATTTATGATATTGCCCCATCTTTCATTTCTCTACCCCTCAAATCCTTGATTCCTACCAAACAAACTACTCATTCTGTGCCTGTGTGCTTCTCCCAGGAAAGTTCTTCTCCACTATAGTATCCTTGCTTCTCACCTTACAAGCATCAATCCAATTACAAGCTCTTCTGGAAGTCCTTTCTCAGTCCAGGTTATGTACCCTCTTCTCAGCGCTTCTTCAGTCTCCCTCTCTAGGAACTATGCAACAACTGTGTCTTTATTCTACATGCAGCGCAGTCCCTGGTACGCATCCTCAGTGTAGAATATGTGGTTACTGAATGAATAAATGACTATCCCTTGGATTTTAAGGGCCCAAACCCAGACAAGTCAGACAATTGTACACAGAATTCTACAACAAGGTGAACCCTGGGCCATTCTCATTGAAAAACTGAGAACAATCTCAGAAGCCCATTTCTCTAGTTTACATTTCAGGTGCCTATTTATGGATAACTGACCTGCTGAAAATCTCAATGTCTTGGTAGTGTGGAGATGCAGTATTTTAAAACCTTTCCTCAGAAACTGCTAGGGTATATTAATATTTGGCCCAAGACGACTCAAGTTTAACATTTACAACAGAAGAATAATTCTGGAAATCTGTGATAATGGCCTTAAAGAGAATCAGGATCCACACAGACGTTGTGGCAAAAGCAAGCACTTTTTTAGACATTTTCCCCACAGTTGAAATTAAAGGTATAGTATAGTTTCCAGCTAATGAAAAATACAATCAACCAGAAAGTTCCATTTCTGAGGGATTTACCATTTACCAAGGTTTCAGTTTACCTATCAGGCTACAAACTCTATTCTTGAATTGCCAACAGAACAAATTATTGACAAATAAATCACTAACCTAGTTGTAGCAGTAAAATAGCTACTAGCATTTACTGAGCGTTTCCTTTGTGCTAGGCACTGTCCTAAATTCTTTCACACGTACTAAATATGTAATTCTCATCAAATCTTGAGGTTTGGTTTTGTAATTAATCCCCATTTTATATATAAGGTAACACAAACATCAGGAGATAAAGCACCTTTGTGATAAGGATCACAAAGCTAGTTGCTCACTATGATACAAAACTTCTGGCTCCAGGACCCACACTCTTAACCACTGCATTATTTAAAGCATGGTAGGTATACTATTTTTCAACACTGGTTTATGGATCATTTGCATTATAGTATCACACCCAAACCATCCCCAGGAACATGCATTTCAACAAGCTCTTCAGGTGACTAAGCTTAAAAATCACTGATACAGTCTCAAAACACTGAACTTGGAGACAAAAGACAACTAAGGCTTTAACATCTTAACCAGCCCCAAACTGGTTACTTTAAAAGCTTTAGTTTCTTCATTTGTCACAAGAAGGGACTGGATTAGATAACTTCTAAGAAAGTTTCTGGATCCACAACAGTTAACTTATGAATGATGAAGAGCTATGAACATTAAACGTATTATTAGCTGAGTTAGATTAAAAAGCCTAAAATTCCTACTTACCCTGTTTACTGTGGATGCAAGTGCCTGAAGAACAGCCACTTTATCCCTAAGAAGGAGAATCACAAGTTAACCCTCATCAGGGCTTTTCATTCCCAAAAAGTGAACACGTGATTCTACTCTCAGAATGGACTGGCCGATAAAAAGTCCAAGTCTCAACTAAAGCCAGTTCTTATGTCTCAAGATCACCAGAATAACAAGTTAGAGAATGAGAAAACCGTCTAGTTCTTTTGCCTAAAGGTCGTTAGCACGTGTTCCTGCTACGCTTTGCCTACCTCCTCTGGCCTGGTCCCTAACACCATCACCCAGAGCTAGCAGTTTCCACGCTCATCTCTTAAACTCTATCTGTCCTGAATCTTACCTCCTCCTATTTTCCTACCCATTCTTACTGCAGTTTCTGGACCAGTCTTGCCTTTATTATCTAAATTAGTGGCTCTTAATTCAGCTATATATGAGAATAAATGACAAGCTGCACTCTGAACTTATTGAATCAGAACCTCCGAGTTCCAGGCAGAACTGTCACATGCAATTTTACTAAATTCCCAGAGGATTCTGACACACCTTCCTGGTTTAGAACCTCTCAATCTTATAACCTTTCTAAGAATTTCAGGCCAGCTGTCCACTGTGCCTATGGGTAGAGACCTTTACTGAACTACTGGAAAAGGGAGTTTCTTTGGAATAATTGACAAACAGGATGATTTGGTCTCAAATATATTTTTTATTCCTGTGTTAGACTTTAGGTGTTTCATTGTGAAAAGGGAAATAAGAGAAAATTTAATAAACCCAAAGTATTTTTCTAAACAAAGTTTAACATAACATCTAGAAGAATACACACCATCTGAAAAAGACAAAAGAACATACAGGAAATTTTGTATTATACCAAGACTGAGTAACTCCCTGATATATATAATATCCCCTGGACTTTCTATCATTTTTTTAAAAGATTGGCACCTGACTGAACATCTGTTGCCAATCTTCTTTTTTTTCCTTCTTCGCCCCAAAGGCCCCCAGTACACAGTTGTATATTCTAGTTGTAGGTCCTTCTGGCTCTGTTTTGTGTGATGCGGCCCCGCATGGCTTGACAAGCGGTGCCAGCTCCGTGCCCAGAATCCAAACTGGTGAAACCCTGGGCTGCCAAAGTGGAGTGTGTGAACTTAACCACCTGGCCACAGGGCCGGCCCCTTCTATCATTTTTTAAAGTCACATTTATGTAATTTCAGCAAGAGAAACAAAGAAATTCATCTCAGCATTCCCTAACTACACCTTACGTTAGCATACTTAAGTCTTATCAAGTGAGCACATCTTCATAACAAACTGAACAAACATCAGTGAAGAAACTATGACAGATTACTCACCAGCTCTCTTTTTCTAAGGGTTATTTTTAAAACCAATTTCAACGAATACATTATTTTTTTAAGGATAAATTAGAATACTAGAGGTTATACTAAAGTGTCTGGTGTCATCTTGTGACCCCCTCCTACTCCACTGTGAGTTTGTTTATACTGCCACAACTTTTTTTTTTTTTAAAAGATTTTATTTTTCTTTTTTATCCCCAAAGCTCCCTGGGTACACAGTTGTATATTTTTAGTTGTGGGTCCTTGTAGTTGTGGCATGTGGGATGCCGCCCCAGCACGGCCTGACAAGCGGTGTCATGTCCACACCCAGGATTTGAACCAGTGAAACCCTGGGCCGTCAAAGTGGAGTGTGTGAACTTAACCACTGGGCCACGGGGCTGGCCCCATCCACAACTTTTTAAGGTACTTTCACATACACGTACCGGCCATAAAAAACATATACTGTCATTCTGTATATGTGCTCATCTAAGTTGGTATTATCCATGTTACTATATCCACACCTAATTAATTCCTTTAAACGTTGTACTGCATCATAACCATTGCTTACTATCCACTAATTTATCTATGGGCATTTAGGCTGTTTCAAACTTGTTATTCTCAAATTATAAAGAACATTCTTAACCATGTCTCTTTGGGTATATATGCAAATGTTACTCCAGAATGGCTAACCAGTAAGGTACGCACATTTTAAACAGTGATTCTGTCAAATCTCCACGCAAAGTGTTGCTCCAAGTGACTGCCCTATCAATGAATGCATTTGGGCACTCATTTCTCCACATCCTCTCCCTGACAATGTGATAAGTTTTAATATCCATTTATTTTATGAGCCCAGTTATCTATGTGTTGATTATATATCTATCCATATATGTATTGGTTATAATTGGGCTCCCTGCTCTGCCTATGGCTTCTTCCTGGTCTAAAAACATAAATTCCTGAGGCTAGAAATCATCACTTTTCCTGTAAAGAAACAGATAGTAAATATTTTGGGCTTTATGCGCCATAGGATGCTGTTGCAACTACTCAGTTCTACCAATGTAGCACAAAAGTAGCCACAGACAATAGTTAACAAATGTGTGAGGCTGTGTTCCAATAAAATTTTGGCTGACACTGAAATCTGAATTATTCATATAATTTTCATGTGTCATAAAATAAATCTTTTGACTTTTTTCAGCTATAAAAAATCTAAAAACCATTCTTTGCTCATGGGCTATAAATAAATAGGTCTCAGTTTGCTGACCAATGCTCTTTATCAACTACCTTATTTCTCCTGTTCTCACAGAGCACTTTTCATAGGCCTGCCTGCTTGGCCTCCTCGTACCACCAGATATATCACGATCATGTCCCACTCTCCCTTAGTGTTCTCTTTATCTCTAGGTCTCACACTTTAGGGTTCACAAGAATTACCTGCAGGAATACGCAGTTTAAACAAAATTCCCAGGTGATTCTGATGCCAATAGAATCATCTTACCCAATTAAGGTACCAGTAAATTCCTACCTTCTCCATAGAACTCAACTTGATCAGCGAAATACAACTGCTCTTGATTACGTCACATCCTGTGCTGCTTCCAGTCATTTGTACAAGGTTAGGTGCATATGCAATATTAGGTATAAAGTATAAAATACAAAGTATAAAACAAGCAGACGACTCAGCTAGATCTTAAGCCATCTAAGCACACCCTCCAAATGCTGCTTCTTTTGTATTCCCTGTAGCACCTTCCTCAGGGATAGAGGCACAATGGGTTGGTAAAGTGCTCTGGACTTGAATGCCATTCAGGAAAATGCCTCATTCATGGATATGCATATTCCTACTCTTATCTTGGTTCTGATTCTCTGTTAGGTCAGGGAAGACAGAAATGAACCTGAATATATCCATATATAACAAAATACTACGTAGTCACTAAAAACTAAAAGTAGAGCATACAGCTATACATCTGACAAATCAATTCTATTAAACCAAATGTATAATTTGTACAAAAAATTATTCCCCAGAACTTTAAGATACTATCATCTACTGAGATCTGAGTGCGTGGTAGGCACTGTTCAAATGTTCATTTAATCCTTTGAGGTAGGTACTATCATTATCCACATTTTACTATGGCACAGACAAAGTAAGTAACCTGCTTGAGTAGTGTGATTGCTGATAATTTGTTTCCTTTTTGCGTGTTCAATTTAGCTCACCCTCCTTTTGGCAATAACTAGTAATTACTTTTGTAATTTAAGAAAGTTTTTTTAAAAAAAAATCAACTTGAGCCTTCAGGGCATACTTAGAAAAGACTTGGCTGTTTGAGGGGCCTTCAAATGTATTCAATAATAGCACTGTAACAAATTTTGTGAAGTTTTACTTCTTATATAGTCAACAAATGTTGAATAAATAAGGCAATTTGTTCAAGGATCTATCCAGTGAGTTAAAAAACGAAATTCCAGGGGCCAGCCCCATGGTGTGACGGTTAAGTCTGGCATGCTCTGCTTCGGCAGCCTAGGTTTGCATGTTCGGATCCCAGGCCCAGACCTACACCACTCGTCAGCCATGCTATGGCCGTAACCCACATATAAAATGCAGGAAGACTGTCACAGATGTTAGCTCAGAGCTAATCTTCCTCAGCCAAAAACAACCACACACCAAACTAAATTTTGCAGTCCACACTATTTTATTTTACCTCATTAAACCATAAAGATAATCAGTCTCCCGACCATGTAAGAACTTTTTAAAAAAAGAAATTATTCTAATTATGATGCTCACGATTAACCATTGTTATCTAACTATCAACTAAAACTTAGTGCAGATCTTTCAACTCGTCAGTAAATCTCACGGCCCTGTTCACTCATTACTCTCTACCTTCCTCTTTTATGTTCTTTTAAACTCCCAAGCTTTTCTCCCCTCAGCTGTTCCCTCCCCAAGAAGGCTCTCCCATTGCTCTATCTATCACTGGCTCCTTACCTAGCAATGTTTCACTCATAATAAGTGCTCAACCACTTACTGATTGAACACTGATTGATTACTCACCAAGTTTTCCTTTTTGGAATGATCACTTCTTCAATCCCTTAATGTGAAAAATAAAACAAAGTGAATCAGTTTCCCAATACTACTACTACAAAAAAGCACAATGTGTTAATACAAAAATGGAATTATATTCAACGTATTTTTACATACCTGTTACATCAGCTCCTTCAACGTTTGGGAGGGCTGCACTTTCAGAATAAAATCTGCAAAAAATAAAAGCCCTAAAGCTAATATTCTTAGTGAAGCTCCCACCTCACCTCCACCTATGTGCATCCTGAGCCCAAATTTTCCAATTATCTAGGACCGAACTGACTGGACAATTCATCTCAATGTACACTAAGAATTCATGGCCTCAAGAACAAATTCAAAACCATTATAAAATAGATACATGATACTGACACAACATGGTCAAAAACTTTTAAATCAGGCAATCTTCCTAAACAAAATTAAGGGAAAAAAAGGAAAATTTTAATAGCACTTGAACAATTTGAGCAGCTGATTTGTAATAAAAGGGACTTTCAACTTTGGGAACCTAAAACATAGAGATTAAGAGGGACAATTTAACAAGTTCTCGATTTCATGTGGAAAATGCTCTAATGACAATAAAAGACTAACCCATTTATGACAAATTATGAAGCTAAGGGCTTTTATCACACTTCCATCAACAATCAGGAATGTGCCAGGTACATACGTCCTAATTTAAACTTGGAACTACTACTGTTTTTTCCCAAAATATAAAATCACTGATCCATGACTGAGTCTTAAAATGTTCTGATCATACTAAAAACACAGTCCACATACCATACAGATAATATGTATCATTAGGTTGTGTATTTCTTTCCTAAGCGGCATTGGTACCATTCACAAAATTGTCAGGATATGATTAGGGAGAAAATTACTTCCTCTACTGGTATCTGGTCTCAGGCACCATTTCAAAATACTATTTCTCTGCTAGGGATCAACTTCAGGAAGGGATCAATTCTTTCAAATCACGCTATTTCCTTCTCACGACGTTAGGGGGGACAGACCACTTTCGTCTTGTGGGTGAATGGTGAGGGAGGTGCTGCTGACAGGCAAAAGAAATGGGCAGAAAAATGTCAACACTGGGCACTACTGGGAAAAGGACGGGATTGAACAGCAGCATTGAGGCTTCTGCAGTACCAGGTGGAGCGTTTTTCTTTTTTGAGGAGACCTGAGAGTATTACATATAAAATGTATACTGTAAGTTAAGCATCTCACTTATTCCTCAGTTTTTCAGACGGTTATTACTAACTCCAGTCTACAAATGAGGAAATTTTGTTTGCTATCATCCGACTAAGGAAATGGCAAACATCGAATCTAAAATTAGGTTTTTCTCAACTTTTAACTACAAATTACTGCCTCTCATGTTCCCACAACACCAGTGTTCGCACAGAGTGAAAGTAACTACACAAATGATACGTTTCCAAGCTGTAACAATCACAGCAATCCATAAGGCGTGTTCAGATCTTTTAAACTTGCCGGTTTTATGAACACCTGGATAATATCTCAGGCCAAACATCCCCACAATATCCAGCACACAGTGGCGCTCATAAACTGCCTTTAGTTTGGGAAAATGTTCTGAGTTCTCTACGCTCCTCCCGGCTGAGTGAAAACAAGCGAGGGCAAATAATTTTCTTCTTTAAAAATCTGGGATGAAATTGCTAATAGTCACACTAACTAGAATGCTGGCTCCACGAGAGCAGGATTCTAGTCTTGCCACCAGTTCTAACTCCTGGATACGCGAGCCAACCAATAAATATCTTCCCAATAAACGCCTTTGGGTCCCTTTTTCAAGGACGCGGGTTTCGCGCGCCCGGTTTTCTGAACACGAGGGCCGCGAGAGCGCACATGCGCATTCCACTCCGTCCGTACCTAGCTGCACAGCTCTCGAGAAAAAGGGATACATAGAACTAAGTTGACCCTGGGTCTTCTTTCCCAAGCGTCGATTCCCCAAGCTTCTATTACCTGCAACTGGGGGCCTGTTCACATGGATCTGCCCTCCGACTCTTCAGCGGCAAGCAAAGCCTGCAGCGGATCCTCAGCCAACGAGCCGACGCTGCCGCTGCCATCTTTGCTCTCTTCGCACAGCACGTTGGGAAAGCACGACCTCGACCTTCCGGGTCGCCAAGGGAAGGGGGGGGAGGTGGGCGGGGAATAGCTCGGCTATTGGCTGAGACGGAACATGATAAAAGCAATAAAGTAGGAGGTAAGAAGCTCATGGTTTGAAAGACTTTGTTACGGAAGTTAAAGGCTCCATACACCTCATTTGCCTCGAATAAATTTTGTAAAACGATTAGTATAATGTATTATATATCTTCGGTTGTTTTCAAAATAAAAGGGCGAGTGAGAGTCGTGAAATTATTTTCCTCCCCCCCCAGAGGAGAGGTGATCTCATCCACGTAAATCTCATTCCCGCGAGCATTTCTCGCGCGCAAGCGCAATTTAAAATCACATGGTGGTTGCGAGGATGAGGTTGTGTTAAGGCTTTACTAGTGCTGACTGGCGCTTCTCTTTGGGTCTCTGAACTCAAGACTAACGGAGGATGTTGGGCTCAAAGAACATGCCCTGGCGGCGGCTGCAGGGCATTTCATTTGGGATGTATTCGGCTGAAGAGCTCAAGTAAGGAGTTGGTGGGGAGCGTGCAGTTTGTCTCCTGAGGTCTGCGCCATAAACTACTGTTCCCGAAAGGTCTTGGGCCCGGTTTATCCTCTGAGTCTCTGGTTGTGCGGCGCGCGGCCTGCTGGGACCCGTAGTTCCGGGAGGAACGTCTTGCGTTCGCGTGCATTGCCTAGAACCCGAAGGGGCTGCGAAAGCGTTTGCGCTGGGGAGGCGGGGGTTCCCGTATTGCCGCGTTATCGTCCTCCAGTCGCCTCGTTAATTAACCAGCGTTTGTGGAGTTACTGTAATGTCTCTGACGCGGTCAATTAAGCACGTAATTAGTCTCCTCTTCTCTGTAAAGTGACCATCCTTTAAGACTCAGTTCAGGGGACAACTCTATGCTAGGACTCCTCTGTATTCCCTGCCTAGTTACTAAATCAAGAGGGCTCTTCTATTTCTGTGACAAGTACTTCTTCCTTCCGCCTTACTCGATCAGTTTGTCAACTCACAAATATTTATTGATCATCTAGTTTTTGTCAGGCACTAAGCTAGGCGTTAGTGACACATTGGTGGGAAAGGTCCTTCCATTCATGGCTTATATTCGAATTCGTCTTAGGCTCCTTAATCTGATTCCTTTTCTGCTTAAATCTTGGTGTTCCTTGAGGTTCTGTTCTGGTCATATTGCTTTTCTTGTCCTAAATGTTGTCCCTAGACAATTTCACCACTTTCATGATTGATAAACTCTGAAATTTAAATCTTCAGCCAGATTTCTTTTCCTGGTTTTCAGACTGATTTGTTCAGCTGTTTTCTAGACATCTCTACTTGAATTTGACACAGAGACCTTAAACTCATATACCAAAAACTCAGCATGCACCTCCCCTCCCCACCCTCTCCCTGCAAAGGGAAGGGGAACTTGCCCTTCCAAAATGATGTACCTAGTCTAGGGCAAAATGGTCACTATTTTGTGAATTGGAAATAATTTTAGACCTGTGTCTCCTGACGCCTGATTTACTTATTGGGTTCTCACTGTGTGTCACCTACATACCTATTTGTTCTATACTCTCCTTTTATTGCTACTGCTGCTACTTTAGACCAGGCCCTTATCTCTTGTTTGAATTGTCTTTTCCTTCCACATCCCCCCCTTACACCTGTTCAGTCCATCTTGCACATTGCTGTCAAAATTATTCTTCCAAAGTGCAAATTTTATTATGCTGCTGTCACCCTTAAAACCGTCTAGAGGCTCTTCATTTCCCTGAGGTAAAGGATACTTTCTTAGCTTAGCCTACAAGTTCTCCCATGATCAGGTCATTGCTGATTTTAGCTTTAACAATCATCCCTTTCTTAACCCTACTAAACCACTTGCACTTTCCAGAAACCGCCATCAGGTTTCAACATCTGAGCCTGTGTTCAGTCTGTTTCCTCTGCATGCAGTGTCCTCTCTGCCAGAGGGACGTGCTTACTTGTCTCTCTCCCCACCTTCAGCAGACATCTGGAACGCATCTCTTCCACTCCTAAGGCTCAGCCCAACCTTTCTTATTTTCTGAGGTCTGTCGACACCTAGTACAGTCACCTGTCATGATACCTCAGTCACTTTTTGTGCTTGTTTATATTTGTGTTTTCCTCTGCTAGCCTTGAGCTTCCTGTATGTCTCATTCCTTTCTCTTATGTTGACTCTGGTTGAATGAATGGATGAGTAAACTCTTGAGTTGCAGCTCTGGTGACATTGGGAACAGTGTGCTAGCCCAGAAATTCCAGTTATATTATCACCATCCATAAATAGATACAATTTCATCCAAAAGCAAAAGTGTTTTAGGTTACTTGAGTTTTTTAGAGGATAATTGTGGAGTTTTCAGACAGTGAACTAGATGAGCAAATTTATACCCATGAGTAACACTGTAGACATATTTGGGTCCAGGGTTGAGGAATTATAGTGATTATGCTACCTTTTATTGTGCTGGGATCTCATAGCTTTCCATCTCACTCGGAGTAAAAGCCAGGTCCTTGAAATGGCCTGGAAGGGCTATTCTGGCCCCTGCTACTTCTCTGAACTCACCTCTATTCCTGCCACTCTGGCCTCCTTGCTGTTCCCAGAGGACCATAGGTACAATCCACCTCAGGACCTTTGCACTCCCTCCTTCTTCCTCCTGTACAGCCCTCTTCCCAGGTGACTGCATGGCTTGCTCCCTCATCTCCTTCAGGCCTTTGCTCAAGTATATCCTTCTTAGTGTGGGCTTCCCTGACCACTGGCACACCCTATCATCCTTCCTCTTTCCTGCTTTATTTTTCTCCATAGCACTGTCTGCCATCTAACAGACAATATACTTATACGTTTTGGGTTTTGTCTGAATTCCTTCCTCCAATAGAATGTAAAGCCCACAAGTATAGGAATTCTTGTCTGTTACCCAAGTATCTAAAACTGCCTTTGGCACACAGGAAGCACTTGACAAATATTTGTTAAATGCTTGCATGAGTGGATGGAGGAGCTATCTGTTCAGCACTCGGCACTTTCAATCCTTCTTAGAACCATTTTTAGTGGTGTCTTTGGTTACAGGAGAGGAAATTCAGGGCCAGAGAAGAAAGTGAGTCTCTAAGAAGCAGGAAAGGTCGTTCTCAAACCCAAGTCAGTTAGTCTCCAACTCTGTTCTCTAGTGTAGTCCCTGCTGGTTGCGTCTCTTCTCCATCCCATTGCTGCAGTGCTTAGAGGGACTGTCTCCTCTTCCCCAGCAAGACAGGGGAACTTTGTTCAAATCACTGTATTTTATGTACGTTATCTTCTGATCATAAAGGAGCTGCTGCAAGGCCCAGTTTTTAGTAAGAAAAAAGGCTAAGTAGTTTGTCCAGGGTTGCCCAACTTAAGGTTGCAGCTAGGCTCTCGATTTGTGGGAGGAGACCACACACACGACATGGGGTTAGATTCGACTTCTTGTGTCATTAGCTTACTGGTAGCAAAGTGATCTTGTAGACAAGAAGCACAGCAATGGGTGTCCATGTAGCCTCCCTTGGCTCTCAGAGTGACACCGCCCAGGCAAGAAAGGTTCTTCCAGATCTGAGCACTTAGTTCTTGATGTGCCCCCATCATTTTATACACAGTTCACAAGTCACCATTCAGGAAGAACTTAACTGTTTCTGGGCTTCATGAAAGGGAATGTTTGTGCTTCCCTCAGTAGGGGGCTCTCCTCTTCCCCATTAGGGCCTACTTGCTGATTGATTACAGCAGGAGATTGGGGTCGGTGCCCAAGTGTCCCTGAACAGTGACTCTACTGCTAGCTTTCCAGTGTTCTGGAAAACCCATTTCCCTGTACTCCCTCCTAGTTGGGAGCAGATTTAGAGCTCAGATCTTTCTCACCCCAAAGCCGTGTTCTTTCTAAGAGCTGCGTCTGCCCTGCCAGGCCCCCAGTTGTGAGAGGAGTGCTGTGGTGTAGCAGTGAGGGCGGCAAGAAGCCCTAACAACAGCCTGTTTTTATGTCAGGAAAGTTGTTAAGTTGGGTGTTTATCTCTTGGAGACTGCCTCTTATGAATTCTACACCCTAGTTATCTTGTGAAAGTCAAGGTCTGCCTCCCCCATAGAGAGACTGAGGATGAGGACCAAAAAAATACGTTCAATTTTGGATGTGAGCTATTTGTGTTGCCTTTATAAGCATAGGACGTAATTCTGCCAGTTAGCACAAGTCTGTACTGGCCCCACCTGTCTGTTCTTTTTCTATCATTGTAGCTCCAGCAAGGGAAGTGAAGCACCAACTTACAGAACATGATAGGGAGCAGACGTAGTGGTGAAAGACTTTCATCAGGACTTAGTTAGCATTGCTTTACACAGTACATGTTTTCCTTATTGGTAGTTCCAGTTAAGTTTTGGAGCTCACTGTCAAAGGAACAAGAAGGAAATGCAGATGAATATTTGTCCAACTATGGAGGAGAGGGACTTAGCCTAAAGGTAGTAAGGAAAGTGCCTTGGAAAAGACCTGTGAAACTTTTTTATTTTTTAATTTTTTTGCTGAGGAAGATTTGCCCTGGGCTAACATCCACTGCCAATCTTCCTCTTTTTGTGTGTGAGCCACCATCACAGCATGACCACTGACAGATGAGTGGTGTAGGTCTGTACCCAGGAACCAAACCTGGGCCGCTGAAGTGGAGTGCACTGAACTTAACCACTAGACCACCAGGGCTGGCCCTGACCTGTGAATTTAACTCATTAAAAATTTTTAAACTTGATGCAAAGAATACCATCAAGAAAGTGAAAAGACAAGAATGGGAGAAAATGTTTGCAAATCGTATATCTGATAAAGAACTTATGTACTGAATATATAAAGCGTTCTTTTTTTTTCCCCCTGCTTTTTCTCCCCAAATCCCCCCAGTACATAGTTGTATATTTTAGTTGTGGGTCCTTCTAGTTGTGGCACGTGGGACGCCACCTCAACGTGGCCTGACAAGCAGTGCCATGTCGGCGCCCAGGATCCGAACCAGCGAAACCCTGGGCCACCGAAGTGGAGTGTGTGAGTTTAACC